TTGAGAAGTGATACGACATGACTTGAGTTGTACCAATTTCAAAAGTGATACGGTATGACTTGAGTTATACCAATTTGAGAAGTGGTACGATATGACTTGAGTTGTACCAATTTCAGAAGTGATACGGTATGACTTGAGTTGTACCAATTTGAGAAGTGATACGGTATGACTTGAGTTATACCAATTTGAGAAGTGATACGACATGACTTGAGTTATACCAATTTGAGAAGTGATACGACATGACTTGAGTTGTACCAATTTCAAAAGTGATACGGTATGACTTGAGTTATACCAATTTGAGAAGTGGTACGATATGACTTGAGTTGTACCAATTTCAGAAGTGATACGGTATGACTTGAGTTGTACCAATTTGAGAAGTGATACGGTATGACTTGAGTTATACCAAGTTGATACGGTATGACCAGAGTTATATTAAGTTGAGGAGTGACTAAAATCGAATACTGAAACGATGGATTGACACTTGAGCTGTTACACCAATCTTTCCTGGAGGATATTCAATTTGAGGAGTTAGAACTCGGACTGTTTGAAAGTGGTGTTTTACAGTCTAATTATTCATATAAAGTTCTAATGTTTAACTCGCTTACATAAATTGATGTATCAGGTTATATATCCCAGTATATTCCGACATCGATTCCTCATACAGATTCTTTTCTATTATATGGACGTCTTGTTGCAGCAGTGGTGGTATACGGCGGCAACCACGCCCTGGTAATATACTAGTATACAGACAACGGCCCTATGTTGCGGTAACGATAAATAAAAGTACAAATGTGATGAAAGACGTAAACATAATTTTATCCTATTAATTGAATTGTGGAACTCGTCTAAAGGTGTTCCCCTTGCGAATTCACCCTGGGAGTAATTATTTTGGTTTATTGCGTAATTCTGAATCGAGATATCTCGTTTCAATCCGTGAAACCAATTTCCTCGAAACTTGCCAACTTTTATTAGAGCATTCCATCTATCAACTGTTTCGATAATTGCTATTTTTTTAGAACACAAGGTTAGAATGTCAGCTTGCGTGATTCTAATGATAACGAGGCAAGTAGCTCGCTTGGTTAGCCTCTCTGATTGGCGGATTTAATGTCATGTGATTATGTATGTAAATCGGTGCGATACGAGTGCAAATGACAATTTCGTGTTATTCTGCTATGATGATTACAAAATTGGGCTTACATTTGTTTTTAGAAAACGACAAGAGTCCAAGATTTCATGTCATGAAATTGTGTTTTTTTTTTCATATTCGACATTGCGCTCAGATCACGCTGAATATTTCTCGCCTATATTATATTGCAGATGTTCAGTCGTGCAAAACTCCATTAAATGGAATACAGCAAATAGTTGCAATGTTCTTTAACGAGAAGCAACTGGTAAATGTCGAAAAATTACCGAGGTTTTTGGTAGATGCCATGGTGTCTTAGTCAATGTTAATTCGAATCAGCTATTTCTGACACTTCTCTGGGTAGATATAAAGTGATATTCCAGGTTATAGGTACCGTCTTCTATACTAAGCAGTGCCATTAAATACGGCGCAACAGTTGGAGAACTTGGACGCCGCATTGCTCTTGCTAACCTGTGAATTGCATTTTTATAGAGGTAATACAACGATGTTGATTACGATGAGTCATAGATCCTATCACAACACCGGCAACTTTGAATTCTTAATTTCCCGTCGTATTCAGTAAAAATACAAATGCCTTTTAATATTTGCCGTTAACAGTTGATACGCGGATCCTAATACACACAAGTGCGATATAATCAGTTCTGACTGTACGTGTGATCGTATAGACGAATTGGTCGAAAATTATCGTTAAATCCACGGGCGCTGGGCACCAGATGACATCATGAAATTATGTTTGTTTCTTTGCATGTCAAAGTCTTAAAAACGTGTCTCTTTTAAAAAGTGGGGCCAGACATTTGTTCTCTCGAATTTGCTCATGATAAAATGGTTCGAAAATACCCAATTTACGAGTATGCGCGGAAAGTTTTTTACATAGGAACTGCTCAAAACTAAAGACAGGACAATGCAATCAAATAGTGACATAACGAATACCATTTAAAGGGTGGTAGTCGTCGCGCTGCGCATATGCAACATTTGTGTTGATAAACATTGATTTTCCCACAACTCAATGCGTTCTTCAAATGGTAATCACAAATATGAGGTTTGACCTGGGTGCACCTGCACTAATTACCGCCGGTGATTCCTTCGATGCCTTGAATAAAGCCTGGTAACGTCTCAGTTTGTACCGTCGTTGATCTTCCCAACAGTCAAAGTCGCCATCTTTTTTATATGAGACCCATATATCTCGCACATGCGTGGCGCGACGACTACCGCCCTTTAAATTTGAAGTTTTGTTGTTTTATTGAAACTTTAATCGTGAGAACAAGGTTTGAACAATTTATCATAAATGTCAGAGAACCCCACTGATCGGCATGATGATCAAGTCGAGGTCGAGGTCAAAATTTTATCATTTTTTCCGGATGACTTGACATATTAGATGAGTTGTGATTTGACGAAACCTTGGCCCCAGTGCGTGTTTTCAAATGTCGGCGATCTCTACGATTACACTCAAACGTCAAACCGTGCATCGTGTCAAACATTTTTGCGATGTCTTCGTAACTCCCCGTTGTCACGGCGACAATCAACAACCATCTTTCTTTCAAACAGCAAGCTTTTATCGGCGACGATTTCATTAATGTTTTCAACTTTCGCTGTTACTGGGAATGTTTTCTCTTATCCTTATCACGATGAGTATAAATCGTAATAAGCAATGTGGTTCGCTTTTTATAGCGTAGCTTCTGTACACTACGGTAAGAAATCCGATTGCCAGACAGCATGGGGTTATTCTTTCACTTGAATGTGGACTACATGTAATCTTGCAACATTTACATGAGATGGGCAACAACTATTTTCCAAAATGACAATCGAGTATCGTAATTAATTGATCGCGTTTTTTCATCCTTCACTGCCAGTGAAAGCCGAAAAAAATATATGGGAATAGTGAAACTATTGGCAATGCCCAACGGCCATTTTCCACAGTCGTGGTAAAATAGCTGTAGAATGCGGTGATGCCTCCCCGATGTGATGGACGCGACGACGAATTCAGAATAAAAATGAAAGCCGTTCATTATATGAGGCGGGTGACTTAAGCTCCCCGTCTGTTGCCGGATTGAAGCCAAACTGCTCATGAAAATAACGCACGTCCCTTTCGGATGTGCATTTAAAATATGGTGTATGCAGGTGTGAATTTGAGGACAAGAAATGTATGGAAATATGTCAATACAACCCCAAATGTGAGTTATATTCTATCTAATCATCGCTGATCGACTATTGGTACCCAATGATGACACGCACGAGATGAATACCCCAATCTAAAACCATCTCTTCACCGTACACGCTGAAATAGATTTTATCCACTTCCAGTATCTGTTCATATAGTAGTTTGGAAATATGTAATCCGTGTCTATATATTGTTTCTAATGTGTTTGAACACTTCACTCGTCGAAGCCGGTATCCATGGTTACACAGTATGCAACAGCTGAGACATCCACTTAGCATTTTTGTCTGGTGTTTTTGAAAAAAAATGTGGATTTGTAAACACAATGTTGTATAACAACATGCCTGGAACGGTGAACGTGCTCGATTTATTGAAGCTCTGTGAACACAGCTACGAGAGAGAGAGAGAGAAATCCTATAAGAATACAGAATTCTCGGCCCGTACTTGAAATGGAATAGCCCAGCGCCGCAGCGGCGTGGTGTTAGCCAATCAGAATAAGGTTGTGCAAAGCTCGATTGTAACTCCTCCCTCGCTGCACGTAAATCATAGAAAAGCTAGCTAACCACACTGCAGTATATGATACATTGCGAACACGCAGCTGAAAACATTCACTCTCACTGCTACCTTAGTTATAACTGTCCAATAATTGACACACTGCCATTGGATCCTGCAATCTGACTCGGTGTACTATGGAGTAGAGGTAATACTCATCAACGGCCGTACTAAATGTATGGTTCCCGTGTATTTCTTATTCGTACTTCTATCGTCTTTAAATCTTGAAGCAGACTTTTTACCCTTTCCCTTGAAGCAGACTTTTTACCCTTTCCCTGGGGCTGTGTATGTACCGTTTTTCGAGCAGTGTATGTGTGCGTTGTTGTACCTAGGTATTGCACTGTACTAAATAATGTTTCAATTTCATCCACAGTTTCACTGATTTACGTACATATAATAGTTTGTAAAAGAAGGTGAGTAAACAATCGTTTGTTTAAGAATGGTTTCGAGAGCAAAACAAAGTCGATTTTATTACTCGGTGACTTTAAACGCATTGTCCTGGGCTGTTTTGTGAGCACGACGCGGTAATTAAATTGCTACCATGATGTTTTATTATCGAAAAAACAAGTTGTATGCTCGTATACGTCATTTTCTTTCATTTTATTTTAATCTCAATGTTGTTGGTAAAAATGGCATGAAGCCTCAACAAAGTCTGCTGTATTCTCGCGGTGGATGTTCTTTTTTTTCTCACCAATCATTTTTTTAAAATTGTAATTCCCTGCCATTCCATTACCCTCACACAGGTATACAGTGATCACTCATCTCAAAAACAGCGTGTCTTCATTGCACAGACGGGACAAAGGCGAGACAACAGTGTGCCGGAAACGACAAAATACACGCGCGGCAAATTGTAGTGATTTCTTTCTCAAGGAGAAAATAACCGAAGAAACTCACTCACTAACTTGCTTTCAGATTGTGGAAATTAAGTTTGAGCTAAGAGCTTTGGTATTTTCCCCCCGGAGGCCGAAACATGACAAAAAAGTATCACCTAGTCCGCGTGTAATTGTTTCACTGGCGTCACGTTTGATTGCCGACACAGTGATTTAATTAAACAGAGAAGCGACGACATTACTAACGTAAAAGTACTTCCGTCGGAGACAAGCAGTTTGTCAACTTTCGTCATCGCACTACAATAATTTATTTAAAACGATGATGAATAAAAGTGAACTCAAGTATATGACTTATTCAGGCGTCATGGAAAACGTGTCCGCGGTTATGGATAATATTAGCCTGACAATTTTCGACAGTCTTGCGACGTCTACGACGTACCCAAAGGACGATGGCACCTCCGGCTACACGGACTCCGCTCAGAACGGAGCAGTCGGCAATTGTGCTACGTGGAACGGAACTGGGAATTCTAGCATCGATTGTTCACCTATCATGATTGATCTTATATATCATCCGATAATATATAAGGTAGTTTGGCTTCTTTGCTGGGGACTGGTTCTTTTATGTGGTCTCGTCGGTAATATAATGGTCGTCTTAGTGGTGTGTCGTATAAGTCACATGCGCACCCCAACGAACTGTTACCTTGTTAGTTTGGCGATCGCCGACTCGTTGGTTCTGATCGTCGCTTGCTTGCCTAGTAACGTGGAACTGTTTCTCCCTTCTAATATCTGGCCTTACGGGAACATTGGATGTAAACTATCAATTTATTTGCAGTACGTAGCTATTAACGTGTCGTCGCTGTCTATCACGGCGTTCACTATCGAACGCTACATCGCCATTTGTCACCCCATGAGGGCTCAGACCATCTGCACTGTGTCCCGGGCGAAGAAGATCATCGCAGCGCTGTGGATATTCGCGATTCTCTACTGCGTCCCCTGGCTCTTCTTCGTGGAGACAAAACCCCTGACCCTGATTACAGGCAGGCAAGCAGAATGGTGTATGTACTCGAAAGATAGGTCGACCGAGATTTACACGTTTATGTACATGGTCGACTTGTGCGCTTTCTACGTAACTCCCGCGATACTATCAGTTGTTCTGTACGGACTCATCGCCAAAATACTGTTCACTAACACAGTGCCGCAAAACGCCACGAGGAACAGTTTTCGACATAAGCATAAAAATGGTGTTGGAAAGAAAGAGGGTAGGAGGAAAACCACGAATTCCCGAAAACAGGTAAGCTAATATTTCAATACAGTTACCGTGTTTTCAATAAGATCCTTCAGAAACACACACCAAAAAACAAACACACACACCCACACGATTCACCATATAATAGAATGTGAGCGAAGATGGAGATGGTAATGTCATTGCATATCTGTTTTTTTTTTCCAACCTACCATCTCGCCCAGGTTGGACAACCCATAAAAACGGTGGATGTTACTTAATTAGCATGACGAGAATTGTCAATCGAGTTGATATCTAGGGCTTGTGCGCAATTACGTGTAACACGTTCTAAAACCGATAGAGGTGGGTTGAATACCGACAGCATGGATGCCAAATCAAATGTTGATCACGTGTTTAACGTCACGTGCGTTGGATGCTGGTGTGTGGGAGTGCTCAACCAAATAATGTATGTTTCATTAATCTTATAAATATAAATGTCACATACACCCGTATTATAACTTCATGTTGTCTGTCATTTTATGTTTCGTGTGAGCGGTACACAATCCCAAAATTTAAATTGTTTTTAAAATGGGGACAGATGGTCGGTGTTAATGTAAAATAGACCCACGTGGACCAACTTTCACGGGAAATGTTCCGAAGGGAAAATATTGCATACATACTATATTTTAACCGGTGGGTCTCACATGTTCAACGATTCGTATAATTGGTATATGTCCGCTTGGTCGTAGTATATACATTTTCATGATTTCATTCATCAAACCGTCCCATAATTTAACGTTAATTAATTAATCAATCAATTGTCGTATTTATATTAGCTGCGTGCCTGGACTGTGATGGCACTAATTAGCTGTGCCAAGTTAATTGCAAAACGGCTTCTTCATTTTACCAACTATGTTCTGCGGCCACTGGGTGTTTATTTTTCTTCAAAAATAACATATTTGTACAAAAATCACCACGTAATAATGTAGGAAAAAGTCCTACACGTATTATAGGTAAGATATATAATAAGAGCCCCGCCCACCATATTTTCCGTATTGGGTGTGCGCTTGCCCGGACTTATCATCTGCACTAAACGATGCTCGTACTGTAATGAAAACAATGATTGGGGCCTCCTGTCTAATATCTGTCCCGTTGTCACACGGTGAGTAATTACCAAATTAGTCATTGCCGGGCAGACATTGTCACGGTTTTTATTGTGAAAGCGATTCAACTACTAGTATACCATTCTTGTAATCCCCCAGCTTAACTTGCAGGCATGTGTCGGACTCAAGTAGCATTTACTGAAAGCCGGAAACTTACAAATACATTCCTGTAAATACAACGCTGTGTCTTGTTATGCAGTCTCCACCGTCCATCGAAATCTGAGAATGCGATCCATTGCGATCCAATGATACCAATTTACTGTAAGAGAAAGCACCCAAGGAGGATTCTATTGTTTGTATGTGTTTCGCTTGAGGTTCAGGTGGTGAACTTGTATAAGCCAGCTTGGGTGGTTTTGAGATATGGCATCTTTAAATGAAACTCTGAGTTATGTAGTCAAAACATTATGCACTCGGGATGGGTACCCCATTATCAAAGTCCCATAATGCTGACCATCACGCTGATCATATTCAGTAAAGACGGAAGATAGAAACCGATCTCTCAATTTGTTCATGGGGGTGAGGGGGGGGTCTTATTTCTGCACGATAACGTATAGTATATAGGCCACGCTTTTCCTGTCATGGCCTGCCCCTTAGCCGAGTCAGTTACACCCCAATGTTTATATGTACTCGGACCAGGGGTGTCTTGCACTCTGGAAGTGTTTTTTTTTCATTCATGATAGAAAACCGAAATATGTAGTTTACAAAAATGTGAAACTACTACGTCGCTACAATGACGAAACTGTACTTCTAGAACAAGGCTCTAAACAGAACACCGGAGCATGGCATAAACAAACCATAATTCACTATGACGAAATATCGAATATATGGAGAATGTTTCATGTGATTAGCATACACATTAAATTGTTTGGTTGTGGTGTTCGCAGGGAGGGGGGAGGGGTCACGCGCACCAGTTATTTGACGGGTTTGGAATAACAAACAATAGTTACGCGGAGTTATTGGCAATTGGGGCATCCACCATAATTACTTTTTATGAATAATCGAACTGAACATTTCAAACAAAGTAACTGGTAAAACATTTCTTATTCAAGTTATTGGTTGATATTGATAACTGAAACTCCAATGTATTTATAAAATATGAGATGGGATTGGCATCTCTCCCCATCTCTTCATCTCTCTACCTCACCAGGGTAGTCAACACCAATCGCCAAAAAGTGTAAATGTGCACATCGTATATGTATAACTGTTACCAAAGCAATAAGTAGATGTTGATATCACTTTGTGTTATTGCGCATGCCCTGGACGCACGCAGTTGGAATGATGTTTGTTTGTTTTCGCCAGGCTGAACAATATCAGCCATGCGAAAGAACCGAACCGTGTCCGCTACGTCCAATGAAGGACAATTTCTTCGGAATAATACGACTTTAATCGCGCGGGGGGGGGGGGTGGTGGTGAAAAGAATTGATTTGATACTGTGTGTACTTTCTGCTCGCAAGTGACAAATCACGCACACATCATAAATTCGCGCTTGTCGGTGCTTTGTACGCCTGTTCCTATCATGTAATAGGAATCAGTTTAATCATGGTTACTAGAAGTAGTAACCGTGGTTTAATCTTCAAATCGGCCAATTTAACACGGATGTTTAATCCTGATGCGGATTTTGTGACTGATCACTTTGATAAGCTCTACGTCATGATTACGTCAGATTACTTTTAGTTTATTAGGCAGGGTATCGAGAATTTTAATTTTTATCTAGATTATACTAGAGTATTTTTTTCTAATGCATATAACAGAAATGCACAAACGAGATTTTTTACATATACAAGGAGTTACTAAAAGTACCAGCAAATTGAGATTTGTTTACACTTTAATTCAGACCAAGTAACGGAAAGTAGTGAAATGAAACGCACCTTGTACAGCACAATATAACAAGACAATACAACACAAAGCAATATTAACGAGGCTTCAACTTGGAACAATCGATTTTAATACCGTTATTTGCCTCACACGGCGAACTCGTCTCGTAAATCGCCTGAAGGGCAATGTCTTGTCATTGAAGGATGGCCAATTTATATTACAATTGTTGTGGGGGAAATACCTTGAGCGCTGTCCCGGTATTAAAACTCAACATGGTTGACAGTTTTACTACAATTCATTATGACAAACTAGTCAGCCGATAAGGTTCATTCATCGATCCTATTTGTTGAAGGGACGGTCGTTAAGACTGAATCCCTCCCCCAAAGATTTTGCGTCTCTAGGAATCCATCGACATGTGACGTAATGTTTCGATAAACCAGAAATCTCTTCTCGAATAAAAAAACAAACAAAGGAACACTTCCCGTTAGTAAGAGGTCATTTCGCGGGTTAAGCGCTGCCAATTAACGGGATGTGCATCGCATCGATTTAATGACTAACGCATGTTTGTCAGGATGGAAAAGCACGCTATTTTTAGCGACTGTTGTCGACCTTGGCGCACGATCAAACTGAAGTCATGATTATGTACCACATAGACATGGTGTAATAATGTTGCACCCTTTAAACACGAATATAAGCACACCCTACTATGTGTAAACAACTCAAATATGTATGTGAAGTTATTTCTTTACGTCTTGCAATTTATCAATATATTACGGAAATCATATGCAGGTATAGTTCTCATTAAAGAAGGGAAGTCAACGTAAGATTACGAGAATTCAAATTCGCACATATAATTCAGAACACACATGATCAAGTTCCGAATTGTTTGTTGATTATTTTGTTACTTCAAAATACCGTTGACTGCGCTGAAGTGGCATCCAGGGGTCGCGCGTAGAAAAGAAGAGCAACCCAAACGAAAATCGCCTTCAATTTCGCAGCTCAAGTGCAAACTGTTATCATTGGCTTGCTTTATAAGTTGAAATAAGGACGCCATTGACCTGGTTTATTTGAAATATAGAAGTTCAATCTTTTCCCACTATACTAAGGGGTTCGTGCAAGAATTCAACGAAATATCGATCCGTAATACAACGCTGCGAAACTCCATAGAGTAGATGTGGATCTGAGGAAAATTCAATAATAGTTCTCACACAAGCACAGTCTGTGTAAACACTGCATCTTGGCTGCTAACACAACGATACACATAACTCCATCTCGGGAACGATTCTCGGCGCCGTATGAAATAAAAAGCCCTCCGGCCGTCAAACGAATATCTGTTGTCCCGAATTCTGGTGTCATGCGAACTTGAACTCTTCGAAAGATTGAGAAACGAACGTTTCATTATAACTTACTCTATGCACTGATTCATGTATGTGTCCATTACGTGTCATAGATTCCCAGGGCTGTCGTTCAAGCCAAGAGAGATGGGGTTGTCAGAATACGGTTGAATTTATTATAGAAAGGTCACATGCCCCGTATCATAAGGTGCGTAAACGCACTAGTACGAATCTCTGAAGATAAAGAGCCCACAGTGCGTTTTATTAGAGCCGCTCCTTCATTCGTAGTTATAAATGCATTATTGAAACGTGTGTATTGTACGTACTGATAACACAGCAAACTCAGATGCTTTGTGGGTTATATTAATTCAGAATTCCGTTGTCTCAACAATGAAATCAATTACTCTGATAAAACTTCAAAAAACAATTCTCGTGTCGTGTTGATTACGGCCACGATATTATTGTCGTCACCAGTTGTCTCGCATCCCCCTGACAACGGTTAGGCAACATAACACAAACAGGTTATTACACCGGGAATCATAATTCTATATGGCGGCAAATTATTTACACGTTAAAAAGTTGCAACCCCGTGATTCAGCTGCATTCTGGGTAAACCGAAGTGAGCTCAATCACCAGCGTATTGCACGCACTTTATATAAGGTTATTACGAGGATACCTCGAAGTATGCACGAAGACAACCTTGAGTACGACGGAAGTATCGACCGACGCACAGCAAAGGTCGATGCGACGGCGTACT